TGAATGAGAAAGGAAAGTCTCACATCGACTTGCTTACTATTATAAATGTCCTTCAGAGGTGAGAAGGTTTCCCCCCCTTTCCTTAACAGAGGCCTCTTTCCTCCTGTTTCAGCTTTGGGGACAAAACCTTTCCCTGCCAAAGTTCATAGAGGTGGCAACAGAGAGGGCTCAAGGAGAGCTTCTGCTTTCTTCTTTTCATATTCATTTAAGGCATTTATTACAAATGTATGATCTACTACTGAAAATTGTATTGTCACTCCTTTACTTAGTCAGCCCTGCTATTACGTATTTTCAAACTTCCCAAATTAAAAATTTCCTTCCCTTCTACATAACTCCAAAGTGTATGAGTGGGAATATTTGGCTATGTTGTCCCAATTTTACAAACTCTCTTGCTCTATTACTCTAAATCAACTGTGTAGCAAACATCGATTCATTTTGAAATGAACATTTAAAGTTTAAATAACAGACTTATAAGAGTAAGGAAAATACCAAACAGCACCAACATACCTTAAATAATAAATATTTATAAAAATGAAGATTAATTGTAAATATATAAATATTCTTAATCACATAAATATCATTATATCCATTATGACATAAATTCTTAAAGTATTCTTTATTTTCTATAATAGAATGATTGAAGAATTCAATGCTTTCCTCTCATTTCCATTATTTTGCCCAAGGCAAACTTTATCTTAATTTCCTCCTATGAGGTCATACAAATGAACTACATGCACCCTTGCTGATACAATCAATGTCAAACCACTTCATTTTGTAGTACTTTTCTATATGAATATAGTTCATTTTTTTTTTTAGCTTTCTCTATTATAAAAAAAAATTAAGGAAAGAGGAAAAACTCATTCTTAGATACAAAATTTTAATTATGCCTCTCAGATGTGTGCTTTTAATTAACTGGTGGCATTTCCTTTGTTCAATTATTATAGTTCTATACAACTGTCATAAACTTATAAATTTTAATTAAAGCTGCCCCAAACCCTAGTCATATAGTGTCCACATAGGAATTTGCCAAAAGGCTTAACTGTAAGTAAACCAACAATGAATAAATCCATGAATTGCCCACTGGGATTTGTTTAACAAATTAACATTTGTGTGGAGATAATGAGGTTCTACAGTTTATAATGGTAAACAATGTTTTTATAAAACCATATTTTTAAAAGTAAATAATGCTTTGTAGATGACTTATTTGGTTATGCTATTATTATAAATAATTAGATGCTATAAGACAATGAACTTCATGGCCGTATCTCAAGTTGAATTCATATAAGGACTCATTTATATAACTAATTTGAAAAATAATTTTTTTCTGAACATACTATCTATGTAAATCAAAATCTAATACTCTATCTGGATGCAAAAAAAAAAATTCATGTAGTATAGATTTTTAAGAATACAGCAAGATCTGGACAAACAATTTGCACCAAACATTAAAAGTTGTGCTGTATCCACATATAGTTCAGGATCCATTAACAGGACAGCAAAATGAACAGAGATTTGTCTTTGTAAATCCATTGCAGGTTAAGTAGATATGCATAGTCTGGAGTACCAAACTCTTATTGGCTTAAATATTTCTAAAGATAAATATAAGAAAACCATCTGATTGTAACCCAGTGATTTTTATTATCTTAATGAGAAAATTAACAATTAAATAATAAAATCTTTATAAAACTCATTTGTAAAAGAAAAGCTTCTTCCCTAAAGGAAATGGTGTCTGTGTTACTAAAATACAATGACAGGGTCCTATATCCTTTTACTGCACATTTATTTAGTTTTCATTTGCATATTCAGTGATGGGGCCAGCACTACAGTTTCTCCCACAACATTGAATATACTCTTCCATAATGAGTAGCTTCTCCTAGGCAGACTGATATTATGTATTAAGATCTAGTGCCTTCTTATTTCAGTCAACTTGCTGAATTTTTTTCAGAATTCTATTAAGTAGTTAGAATACCTTAATTATCAATTAGTCATAAGTAAAAAAATACTTATAGACATAAAATTATCAAATTTAAAGAAATAGTAATGCTTTTACTATTAGAATGCAAATCAGAACTGTTTGCTTCCTCTGAACTCCACTGAAAATGCTTCTTCGCGTGGCTCTTTTCAGTTAGCATTATGCTAAATAATTCAAAGAATAAAATAAGCAATAGAAACAGTGAGAATTCCCAGTAAGATAGAAATTAACTGTGTAGGGGATGTGAGGATCATATGCATTAATTTTCCATTCGACTAAATCTGCATTTATTGTAGTAGAATTAAATGTGCATATTGCACTGTAATAGTCGCATAGTGTCCTTTGGACTGATTTTTGGAATTTACTAATTATATTTTTATTATGCATTTGGGTTAATTTTTTCCCATGGGAACATATTTTAAATACAATAGAACTAAGTAGAAAAATATGTTTTAATTTTCATTTATGCGCTGTAACAAATCCTTTTTGCAAACAGAATTATTGAGTAGCTTAATAAGAATTTAAGTATATCTTAACATGCAGTAACCTGATATTTTCAAAGCATATTATAAATTGTATTACAATATCAAAAAAGTAGTTATGATTTGAGATAGGAATTATGATGCTATCAGATGTACTGATATAGTATATTTATATTTAATTTTTTAATTATTTAACGTAACCTAATTTAACTTAATTTATTTTTTTAAGTTTATTTATTTTGAGAGAAAGAGCTTGCCAGTGGGGTAGGGGCAGAGAGAGAGGGGAAAGAGAGGATCCCAAGTAGGCCCCGCACTGTCAGCACAGAGCCCAGTGCAGGGCTAGAACCCATGAATCATGAGATCATGACCTGAGCCAAAACCAAGAGTCAGATGCTTGCTTAACTGACTGAGCCAACCAAGTGCCTTATTTAATTTTCAAAAGTAAATGATGTTTAGCATTAGGCAAACTGTTAAATTTAAAAAGAAGATGCAAAAGAATGGAACTGGACCATTTTTTTATACCATACACAAAAATAAATTCAAAATGGATTAAGGACCTAAATGTGAGACATGAAACCATAAAAATCCTAGAGAAGAACACCGGCAGTACCCTATTTGTTATCAGCCATAGAAATTTCTTTCTAGATCTGTTTCTTGAGGCCAGGGAAACAAAAGCAAAAATAAACTATTGGGATTTCATCAAAATAAAGAAGCGTCTGCACATGAAGGAAACAATCAACAAAACTAAAAGGAAACCTACAGAATAGGAGAAGATATTTTCAAATGACATATCTGAATAAGGATTAGTATCCAAAATCTATAAAGAACTTATAAAACTCTACATCCAGGGATGCCTGGGTAGCTCAGTTGGTTAGTTAAGCATCTGACTCTAGATTTTGGCTCAGGTTATGATCTCAGTTCAAGCCGTGCATTGGGCTCTGGACTGACAATGCAGAGCCTGCTTGGGATTCTTTCTCTCCCTCTCTCTGCGCCTCTCCTGCTCATTCTCACTCTCTCTCACAATAAATAAATAAACATTAAAAAAACCCTCAACATCTAAAAAATGAATAATTGAATTAAAAAATGGGTAGAAGGCATGATTCCAAATAAGACATCAAGATCCCCAACACACACATGAATACATGCTCAACATCACTGATCATTAGGAAAATACAAATCAAAATTACAATGAGATCTTATCTCACACCTATCAGAATGGCTAAAATCAATAACACAAAATACAACAGGTGTTGGTGAGGATGTGGAGAAAGGGGAACTCTCTTGCACTGTTGGTGGGAATGTAAAGTGCTATAGCCACCCTGGAAAACAGTTTCTCAAAAAAGTTGAATATAGAACTACCCTACAATCCAGCACTTGCACTACTAATATTTACCTGAATAACACAAAATTACTAATTCAAAGGGATACATGCACTCCAAAGTTTATAGCAGTGTTATCTACAATAGGCAAATTATTATTTTTTTTAAATGTTTTATTTATTTCTAGGAGGGAGAGAGAGAGACAGCGTGAGCAGGGGAGGGTCAGAGAGAGAGGGAATCACAGACTGAAACAGGCTCCAGGCTCTGAGCTGGCAGTCAGCACAGAGCCCGACGTGGGGCCCGAACCCACGAATAGGCAAATTATTGAAACAGCCCAAATGCCCATAGAGTGACGAATGGATAAAGAAGATGGAGTACATACACACAATGAAATATTACGCAACCACAAAAAGAGTGAAATCTTGCCATTTGCAAAGACACGGATGGAGGTAGAGAGTTATGCAAAGCGAAAGAAGTCAGTCTGAGAAAGAGAAAATTCATACTGTATGATTTCACACATATGTGGAATTTAAGAAACAAAACAAAGGAGCAAAGGGGGGAAAAAGAGAGAGAGAGCCAAATCAAGAAACAAGCTATTATCCATAGAGGAGAGACTGATGGTTACCAGAGGGGAGGCGGATGGGGGGATGGGTGGAATAGGTGATAGGGATTAAGGAGGGCACTTGTTGCGATGAGCAACATGTGTTGTATGGAAGTGTTGAATCACTATGTTGTACACCTGAATGTTAACTACCTGGAATTTAAATAATTTTTTTAAAACCTCTACCATGAAGTTTCAAAATAAAATAAAATTAAGATAAAGAAGAACAGAGTTTAGAGTCAAACACATAAGGCTTATAAAACTGGTTTTACATAATCATTCTAAGTCAGCATCACAATATCTATGAGCACTGAGCCCTGACACGTGGTGGGTACTCAACACATGATAATGATAATTACCATTGTTAATTTTGTGACTAGAACTTCAATACTGAATTTAGAGCAAACTACTACTGAATTATGAACTACTTATTACATTGAATTATCAACATATTACATTTAATGAATTGATAATTAATTAATTATCAACAATCACATGTAATTTGTGTTAATGCATTCTTTATTACAAAATCAGGAATTATATTTAGAACATTAAGTATTCTCTATATATTTTTCATAAGGAAAAATGCAAATTGCTTGAATATACAGGGACATTCACATATTTACCTAGTGTTGATGGTATACAAGTTCCTCCATTTTGACAGTAGTTGCTACAGTGGTTGACTTCACATCTGTCTCCTGAGTAACTAGGCCAACAGTGACACCTTAAGTCACCTTTCTCATTTAAAAGGCATCTTCCTCCATTTTCACAAGTCAATGTGCATGAATCATCTGGTTATAAGAAGAAATGTACAAATTAGCATGCTATTCAGTGGGTGGAAGAGTCTGACAACTCATATAAACAAAAATTAAATATTAGGATTTACTTTTTTAAATGAAATTACCCAAATAAACACCTCTAATATAAAAGTAGAAGAAACAAAATAGTATAAATACCATCTGAAGACAGAGAAATAGATGTTAATCACTGTTGAATGGTGAATGCAAATATTGAATAAACTGTTACTCTTTTTAGGCATAAAGACATCAATCATTTCTTATATTTATTAAAGCCTTAATAAAACAAATGGAAACTTCTTAAAAATAAAATATTTTGTAACCAATATATTTTCTTTATGATATAAGCTACCATGCCCTATTTTTAGGACTGTTTGATATCAATCCAAACTGAAATATGTAGGATAAATTTATAGTATATATACATATATACATATAATTTATAGTCTAGAAAAACATTTAAATGAAAGTATATTCTTTAATAAGGATATACATCCTTATTAACTACATACAAACAAGTTAAAACTAAAAGTAACTTAGATCTGGTATGAGATGTTGATTAAACAGTGTCAGAAACATTTCCATATGTAAAATTTCCATATGGAAAATGATTAGGCACCATCTGTCTATTTAATAGATTTTGGCTGAGGATAAGAAAGGATAGTCATTCCCTTGGGTTGCAAAATTATTTTTAAAAATATGATGAGTCTGATTTATGATAAGAATTGGTTTGGAATAATTTTTCAGTTTATTTTCCTATGTGTGCTGACATGGCCTCGCTCCCTTAGAAATACTGCTTTACTTAGGGCAGGACATAATGCCCAATGAAACACAATGATTGAGAATACTGTAAGAAACATTTGGTTCTAGAATATGTCTTCTACTAAAGTCATGCCTCTTTTATAGTGGAGTAAGGTCAAATCAAAACAGCCTTGTATTCCTTATTGAAGATATATTGGCCCATACGTAGTAGAAGCTTTAATATATCACTGCAATAATCACAAGAGCACCTTAAAGAACCTCAGAGACTTCAAATTAAAAACAAATTATTCAAATATCATATCCCCTGTCATAAATATAGATTATTTAACAGTTGTACCAGACAATTCTGAGCCACGCCTCATTGTAAAGCAAAGAGTTGAATATACAGGTTGAATTCTCAAGAAGGATCTAGAATGGAAATATATGTATATTTAGTTTAAAATTCACCCAACATTTCTAATTCATTTAGCATAAAGGATCCTAATTGTGGCTATGAATGTAAACAGCGAAGATAAATATTTAAGGCATTATGATCACAGTTAAGATTATTATGTGGGGGAGTTTATTTTCACCTATAAATGTTCTATGTGAACTACATAGATATTCAAAATCTAGGGTTGCCTGGGTGGCTCAGTCTGTAAAGCGTAAAACTTCAGCTCAAGTCATGATCTCACAGTTCGTGGGTTCGAGCCCCATGTTGGACTCTGTGCTGACAGCTGAGAGCCTAAAGCCTGCTTCGGATTCTGTGTCTCCCTCTCTCTCTGTCCCTCCCCCACTTGCGCGCGCATGCTCTCTTTCTCTCTCCCTCTCTCAAAAATGTGTAAAAATTAAAAAATTTAAAAAACAAAACAAAACAAAAAAACCAAAATCTCTACATGTTAGGGCAAGTACATTTCTACAATGTGTCTCGTAGGCAACAGAAATTTTAAAATATAACACTGCTTGATGAAATAGAAGTGGAATTTCAAAACCTAACTGTAATAGTTTTAAAATGAAAAAGAAGGCTGCTTTTGTCAATAAGTAAATCACCCCTAGAAGCCAAGCTCCAGCAATTATAATCAACTATAGGAAAGAGCAGGTGAATACTTTTCCAAGAATGAGTAGTATTTGAATTTCAAATTTCTTACATGAAGATTAAAAATATTCAGTGTCTCATCATTTAACAATAGCAGCAGCTAGCAAAAGGCAAGTAATTATAAAGAGCAGAAAACTTGGCTATGTCAAATGTTAATGTCAGGAAAAAATTAATTGGCATTTATCTACACCAATCAATAATTCTGAAATCTCCTTATTTATATTCTTAACTGAGGTGGTCCAAGATGTCTGCTACCAAGGCTCATATTCATAGAGGCCAACGTGAATATATTTTTTTTAACACTCTGATCATTTAAAATGTAAGATTTTCTTTTAAATTACAAAATGAGCTTTTAGGAGGTACCTGGAAGCACGCCTTTCAATCAGATCTGAAATAGTAAAACTGGAATTTCTTAAAAAGGTTTATATCTTGGATAAGTGCATATGTAAACAAACATGTTTTCTCAAACTATAAAATTTGGTACGTAATATAGAGAAAAACCTGTTTCATTTTCTTACCTAGTTCATGATAGACTTGTCTTAGAGTGTTGTGTGTCTACTTTTTGCAAAGCACTGTGCTAGGCACTTTATATGTTAATTCCAGTATTTTCAGTGACTCTGGACATGGGCAATACAGGTGACATAGAGGCACTGGGGTATATACCATGTGATGGTTAATATACATATGTATATATGTATACTTACATTATGCTTTGCTTATAAACCTTCAAAATATTTATTACTACTATAAGTAGTAGTAATATTTATTGTTTAGCTAATTTTACAAAGAGGAAACAGAGACAAAGGGAAGACAGGGACAAACAAATTAGTTAAGTGATAGATCTTGGCCTAAAGCAAAGCTCAAACTCAGATCTACCCCAGGCCAGCTTCTTCCTGTGCATTTGTTGGATCATTGGATAAATAATTTGGATTATTAGATAAATAATTTACACTAAGCAAAGACAAAAAAAGGAGAGTTATGTAGAAGAGATATTAATGTCTAGTTATAATGGAAAAACAGCAAATACTGTAGGCAATTTGACCATAAAAACACCACTGTTAATATCTGAGTTGATGTAAAAGTCACATTGATGGCATTAGTAGAATAATTCTGTGCAGAATCTTAATTTCTCTCTGAGGGGTCTCTTATATAGACACAGTACATAGAAGGCATCTGTGAGATCACTAGTTAAAAGTGTATGTGGAACTAGTAAAAATGTGGCACGTCTTCTTACAAGGAAAGGCTGAGATTTTAAAAAATCTATTTCTGAGAGGTTAAAGAGAAATATGTGGCCATACATAGTTTACCTACATGACCACGTCAGAGCAGCTAGTGAAAAATGTGCCTAATAACATTTGAAAATGTTCATTTAATTCTCTTACTCAACCATCACAGTTGAGATCACAGCTACTCTGGCTGGAAAGATAATCAATAAAAAGAAACAGTGCATTCTAGTGCCAGTGACAGCTTCCTTTTCAAGAACTGGCACTAAAGTACTCATCCAAAATACCAATCATGATTCACAATTAGCTCTCTGTTAAGAGATTTCTAACCTTGCCACCAAAAACCATGGTTCATATGTGCTCCACCCTAATTAAAATAAATGACTCACTATTTCCTTTACATGCCTTATTTTCATGCTTTTTCAGTTCCTCTGTCTTAATGTTCTGATCCCTCATTCCCACATAATCTGAATCCCATCTGTCTTTACAGACCTTGTTCTAAGGTCATATTCTACAAAAAATTGGAATCAATTCTCTAACTGGATGATCATCTAAATCCTCATAATAGTTTTAACTCTGTCTCTTCTGTACCTTGTATCACAACTGACATAAATATCTATGTATTCATCATTTAAGCTTTGCAACCTCTTCAACTTTGCATATCCAGAGCTTAGAGAATATATATTAAATGAAGGAGGTGTGGTAGTTTTAGACACTTAAGAGTCACGGAAAGGCAAAAGTCTTTAGATTGTATGTAACTTCCAGTAGACAACAATGAGAAAATGACATGGGGGTGGACATGCTAACTGAGGGCAAAGGCACAGTACTCACGTGAGAAGGCCTTTCCAACAGAAAAAATAAAGCAGGTAGTAAACCCTGCTATGAAGACATCCTGTGTACCTCATTGGAAAGTGTTGTGATCCTCAAGGGATTTCAGACCACTATATTTTGTTTGTGTCAAAAATTACTGAGTGTTGATATTCTTTTCATTTAATACCAATTTGTTTCTCTATTATGATTAATGTCTTGATTGTGAGGGAACTTAATGTCAGTTTATCTAGATAATCGAGAGACGTCTCTTCTTTCTCTTTTCTCATACTATTTTGGTCTTTGATTTTTGTTATTTCATTTTTGAATTTTTGCCACTTATTACTTATAAGCATCTGAAATAATGTTTTCCTTTTAAAATGCTTGTTTGAATGTTAATGTAGCTTCTAAAATATGAACTCTAAGAGTGAAGAAATTTTGTCAGTTTTGTTTCAGAATTAGTCCTTAGTTTTTAAATTAGTGTTATGTTTTGCTCATTAGCCCTCAAAATAGTTATTAGTATTATTAGTAGTATGTATTGGATATCAAATTTTACATAGAAGAAACTACAACTTCATTTCTTATCCTCAGTTTGTAAATTAGTGTTTGACGCATGGAAATTGTTCACTCTGAACCTGATGAATGAATAAGGGATTTTAAGGCTGGGTTTAAACTTATAACAAAGTGGCATCCTCAGAAACATAATCCTCACTGATAAAAAGTTATATAAAACTCTCTTGATTTGGCATTTGGCTACAAAGTTCTTAATCTAGTCTTGATTTAGTCTTAGATGTATAGTAACCCTCAGTGCAGCTCTGTGAATAAATGAGGAATAAATTGATAGGAAGTCATCATCAGAGAGAATAGTTTACACAGGCATTCAAGAACCAATGGTATCAAGGCAGCTGTACTGATGATTGAGTAGCTAATTCTGTTGTTTCAATAGTGGTGAAAATTTATTGTACAAATTAATTCCTTATTTACAGAATAATCAAGTTTACCTACCTAACAGGTTGTCATCATGGCAAGTACCATTAACCAAATATTTTCCTTCTGGGCACACACAGGTGGCTCCAAAAGGATTCAGCAAACATAGGAAGTCACACACTAAGTCCAAGCATGGATTGGGTACTAATTAAAACAAAGGAAAACAAAGCAATGCATAACTATAAGTACAATAAGTTTCAAAAATGTAAAATTTACCAAGGTGAAAGATGCAGTCGCAATGTTGAAAAGAAATCCTATCAAATTGCTATTGGGTGTATGTCCTTTCAATGTTACCATCTTTCTTTATAAGTAAAGAGAAAGCATTACTGAACATTCCTCATTAACAGGAGATTTACCCTGATTTACACTTCTTCCAAGAGAGAAGAAAATATTCAAATATATATTTTGTCACTCTTTCATCTGATTTACTTTTGGTAAAAGAGTTGCTCTGAGATACCAAAGTACAATTTGGGTCTATGTAAAACAAGCAAAGCCAACTGAAGTCTTGGGGGGCCTAATCCTCATTTTTGATAGTTTCAGAACTGCTAAACAGACAGAACCAACTTTCCCCTTGCATTTACAAAGACTTAAAACCCATATGTACTTGCTCAAAACACAAATGGAAGACATTACTTTTTTTTTCCCCGAAACACCACGTTTAAGATGGTTTCCTTTTGGTCCGGTTGGAGTTTGTGTGCATGTAAATATCTGCCACATTTATTTTTGTCTAAATTTCTAACCAGTTAGCAGCTTCTGCAGTCATAAGTACTCCAAGGCTCACCTTAGAGAATCTGTCATTAGAATGACTATGAAAATGACTTTCACTCTGTTAGAACCACTACTCAAACACTTATTATACTTAGGGTAGAGTTTTGTTTGTTTATTTTATTAGTTTCTATGAAGGTGGTAATATTTGACTATGAATAAAAATCAGTCAGAACTAGAGGATGATAGAGAGCATCCTCATATTAACCTTGGAACTAAATATTTCAGATCATGGGTAAAGAGCAACAAAACTTTGGATAGGATTTCAGATAATTATCAATTGTTGTCTTTCCAGATTAATTATACCAAATGAGGTAAAATATCTTTTTATGTGCCATAAAAATTGTCAACAAATCTTACACAGTTTCTTGAAGTGTAACTCATACATAAAGACAGATCATTAGCATTTCGGTCACATTATTTCTTACTTTGTTCTTCAATATTTTTGGTAGCTGTATTTGAAACATATCTTTCAAGATGATTACATCAACCACTTACCTATTCCTTTCCAGGAGGGAAGGTAACAATAAAAAAATCACAATCAGAGAAAATATAACCCTTGAAAACAGTAGCCCTATGATGATTTTAAAGCTGGAATGTTGACGTTATGATTGCTATTGGTTATCAGTAACAAGATCAAAATGGCTAATGATGAATTTCGTTACTTACATGGTTTCTATATAGACTCACAGGTTTTATTAAGAAATTTAGAAAAATAGAAGGAGACTTTTTTGTTAATAAGCAAGTCAATTCTAATTTCAAGGAAACCCAGTCCAATGCAAAATAAACTTTTGTACTATTTATACTTTCACTTTGGTAATTTAAAAAAATAGTGATTTCAAAATTAAAGTTACTTAACTCGGGATTAAGATATTGAAAGAGTTAAAGAATTTTAAAATACTGTCTTCTGAGATTCGTACGGAAAAACAATTCACCAATATCAAAAACAGCATAAGATATACTTACAGTCTAATTGTTTATAGCGATGAGCTATCAAAACACCTTTGGTTTTATCAACATCTAAAGCTAGGTGCTCTACCGAACCGTGGCCAAATTTTTGTACTCGAAATACACCATTTTTAGGTCCTGCTCCATATATATAATCTTCAAAGACATCAATCCTATGTGGATGTAACAAGCCTAGAATTTTTAAAAGGTGGAGTTATAAAAGTTGGAGTGTAAATAAGTGCGTGGACTTAACACCAAGTTTATTTAAGATCATGTAGAAAATCTTATTACTGTGGTTTAAAAAAAGCTTTACAGAATTACAATGTTTTTAATATTAGCTGCAAAGTTGTCAGAATTAATTTCTCTCCAGTAGGAATATGTGAGATACTAAACATACCACTCACAACATAAAAATCATTTCTATCATCACTTTAACCATCTGCAGCCCCACAAAGCATTTTCTGGGGGCTTACTATATGCAGAGTCATCTCTGCTGTATAGTTATCAGACAAAAGAAAAGCTACAGGCCAGCCTTATCTATTGTACACAAAGAGCAATCTCACAAAATTCTGAATTAGATCAACTTAATGATCAAATTAGACTGCCTGAATGACAAAAAGAAAAGAAAAAGGCATTACTATTGTCTGTTTTTTAAATGGGATCAAGAAAACAACCTGGCAAATGGTAATGATGCTTATGACGAGTGTGGCTAACAATAATAGGGGCCATCATTTTTCCCATTTTAAGAAGTGACTGATACTTTAAGAGGCTTTATTAAATAATAATTAATCTAACTTTTGATACTGAAACTTATAACAAGCAAAATGACAACATTCATATTTTAGTTATTATCTAGAGGCTATAAAACATAAAATGCTTTAAAAAAATATATATATGTGTGTTTCTTCAATGTAGTTAAGCTGAAAAGGTCAACTTTTTTGTAATCAGTTGTAATACGGAATTTTTGGCCATCTAGGACCATCATAGAAAAAACACACATTAGGAAAGGGCACAATGAAAGTTCAATTTAATTATTTTTCTTTCAACTTCTCTGCTTTTGTTAAAAAAGCAAGAAGCAAAGCTATATTCAGTATACGTAACATATACATATAAAAACTTCAAGTCCATATTATAAACAATTTTTGGTAAATAAGAGAAGAGCTTGTGGTAGGGAAAGGGAAAAGAATTCACCAGAAAGAACTGAGGTTTCCAAGCAAGGAAAGTGGGAGGAAAAAAAGAATAAAATTAAGAAGTCACAGGAGTGGGGATAAGAAAAGATACCATAAAAGAAGAGCAGAAGCAGATTCTGCAGTCACTGGAGGTAGAGGTTAAGTTATTTTTACACATTGCTTTTCACTTGAATGCTATAATTGTTACAATGAGGTTTTATTATATACAATAATTCATTTTTTAAAGACATTTTATTTTAATTCCTTTTTGAGAGAGAGAAAGGGTGCAAGCGAGGGAGAGGCAGAGAGAGAGTGAGAGAGAGAGAGAGACTCACATAAGGGGGAGGGAGAGGGATGGGGGTAGGGAGAGAGAGAGAGAGAGAGAGAGAAGGAAATGGAGCTCACCCTGGCCAAGCTCACCCAGTGAGTGGGGCAAGAGCTCACCCAATGTGGGACTCACACTCACGAACCATAAGATCATGACCTGAGACGAAGTCAGATGCTTTATGATTAAGCCACCCAGGCGCCCTACAATAATTCATTTCTGTTTGCTATCACTGCAATTTGAAATAAAAATTTGTGTTCAGAGGCAGTAATCTTGATTAACTGAAGTGTTGTTGTAGAATGTAATATCTACAGAAGGAAGAGAATGAAAATTTTCTGAATCTGAGCAGCAATGGACCACATGGGTCCTAAGCTAAGTTCTTCTGGCCTGGCCTCTTTGTTCTTCTAATGGAATGAAAATTATAATCTGTAGTAAAAGCAACAACTTGTAAGGAAAAAGAATTTGAGGAAATTCAGAATGTAAAGCTTTTGTATTTATATTTACATACCATTACTTGACATTCTCATTGATAATTGAAAGACAGAACAAAGGCACTTCACAAACCTTGTTTGCTGCTGACAGAGACTACTGAATCAGAGCCATCATACAGAACACTGCCAATAACAGAAAGCTCAAGGTCAGCCCAGTATATTCGTTCAGTAAAATGATCCACAGCCAGACCTACAAGATAAATACATAAGGATAAATAACAAAAATAAATTTGAGATTATTTAAAATTATGTTTCTGCTTCTTAATATACAATTATGACTGATATTTTTCTTCAAGTTTCAAAGAAATTAACCAGTCTACATCATGGTACTGTAGCAATTAGAAAAAAATGAAATAATCTTTATCTGAAATAAATGTGTATAGCTTACCTAGAATTTAATAAGTTATAGTAAAATTTATCCTTCACATATGAAAAGTGACCCTAAATATCCTTCCTTTCCACATTTACTGGTTTCCTAGATATGGCTATTTTCTAAAAATCTTTTCCATATTTTAGTTTTTATCTTTATAGTATATACAAAATTAATTAATCATTTAAGTCACTTATCCAAACTTTATTTACAATAACTCAATGTGTGGGGCTCCTGGGTTGCTCAGTGGTTATGTCTGAATTTGGCTCAGGTCATGGTTTGTGAGTTAGAGCCCCAAGGCGGCCTCTGCTGACAGCTCAGAGCCTGGAATCTGCTTTGGATTCTGTGTCTCCCTCTCTGTCTCTCTGCCCCTCCCCCACTCATACTCTATTCCTGTCTCTCTCTCTCAAAAATAAACATAAATTTTTTAAAAATTTAAAAAACTTCAGTATAATTAATTATATTTTGAATATCTTCATGAAGGTATGTTTCTCAGCATATTCACAGGATTAATCATAAGACATTTTCACCCTTTTGGAATTGGCCTATGGTGTTGTGAGAAATCTGTGTGCCTGAAAAAGTTTAAACTGACTAAAGATTGATGTTTATACTAGAGAGAATGAATTGCAAATTATTTAATGAAGGTTCTAGTGGTGTTATATCTTTCACTCTAATCATTTATATTCTATGGGACTTCTTGTCTTTATTTTTATCATCAGTATCTGCTAGTGAATAACAGCAACTGAGTAAAATAATAAGATGTGGTAAAAAATAATGTTTTTCTATTTATTCAAGTTTTTGGTTTTTTTTAATTTAATGTGATTGGAGTCGAGACAGTATCTTCTTGCAAAACTATCTTCGACAGAAAGCATATCTTAAGTAAACTTCCTTCAATACAGAAAAGTAAGACTATAACACATAAATTCTACAGTAAGACTTCAATGTTATAGATATTTAAATTTTGTGACTAGTTAGTCTGTATATATGATGTGTTAGATAATAAAAACTGTACAATGAAACTAAAATACCACTGCCAGCTGAACGTTAAATAGCTTTCTCAATCAGAACATTCAATAAATACAACTAGTGGCAATACAACTAAGTGAAATATATTGTTGAATTTGTGTTAATTGGATTCCTCTGCAGACAGTCCAAGATTTAACAGTAAGAATGAAAAATAAATAATTAAACTCAGGTGCAGATAACTCGAGAGTAATTTTTAGTTAAGTTGAAGATCTAGCCCAAATGTAATCAAACCAAATATAAATATTTCTTCTCAAGTATAATATAAAGATGTACTATGCTCAATCAGTCTCTGAGAAATGACTTAGCAATTAATAGCAAGTGAACCATGTTTTACTAGTTTCTGCTCAATGATTAATTTGCTATTTGGAGTCATGTTGGAAGTTATGATTTTGCTTCTCTATGTATAATTATGGGTGACATGAACCATAAAATGACCCAGTTTCCTTTATCCACCATTTTATTTCAAAACAGTTGTCTAAGAAAGGTTGAAAACACTTTTTTCTTTCTCTTTCACCAATGTAATATAATAAAGAAGTAGATTTTAAAAAGCTGTCCCCAAAACAGGTCTTTATTTTTGGATATTAAATGTGTTAACTGTAGAAAAGAAGACAACAAAAGGTGTGTAATGCAGTCTAATTATCAGTATTATTGCTTCAGGTTCCGCAGCAGTATAAAAGTTCTCAAAAGTATCATATATTGCACTGTTAGCCTAGGCATGTCTAAGACATACCCATCTTTATCAGCTCTGGTCACATATTGTGCTATTGGATAGAATTACATCTGGATAAAAATTATATAACAAGCTTTCGGATGAGTGGGATTTATATTCCAAAAAATCCACAGATCGATGATTTTGATTTTTCCTTAAGCCCTTTAATAAAAGAAATAGTCTTTTAAATTAAAAAGTTAATAAAGGAATCAACTAACTTTTCTTGTTACAGAGATGAGAGTGAGGTTTATATGAAAGAACAAGTTCATTTCTATGTTTAAAATATCACATCTCCTTTTTGTCTTTAATAAAGTACCAATAATAAAACAGAAAAAAATCAATTCCCAAGAAGTCATCTTTATCTGAACTGGGAATAATGGATATTTTCAACCAAGTCTGTGTAAGTACAGAAAATTTAAAATAAAATGTCATTTTTGTTCTAATCAAGTATTATGGAATCACCATTTGGAAGGCTTTTAAAAGATAAAGACATAGGCTCGCTAAGTTTTAGGAATGTATGATAACGGCCCTATTCATACAGTCATTTTCTTAATTTCTCCCATGATATCAAGACCATTTTTATAGTTTAGGGATTTTTGAATCTCATTTTTGTTGAACTCTGAAAATTCCTAAGATCTTCCCACTAGTTTCTCTATTTCCACTATGGTCTTAAAGAAAAGAAAGAAAGAAGGAAAGAAGGAAAGAAAGAAAGAAAAGAAAAAGAAAATGGTAAAAGCAAAATCTTATGAAAAATGTCCATAATACCAATGCGATATTTGAGAAGACTTGAAGAGAGTAATCAATTAAAATCACTGTGTTTTCAGAAATGGAGAAAAAGATTATACACATTCCATATTAAAGGAAAGTCAAGATTTGTAAGTTAGTATTAGCCAGCAAGTGTGCACTACCATATTCTTGATTTAAGAGATGATAAAAAGGGTACAAAAACTGAAAATATTTACCACTATGTCAAATTTATTTAAATTGTTAAAACTGTTTTTTGAGATAGGTTGCCTACTTACAGTCTTAAATTCCAAACTAAAGTTACACACACACACACACACACCCTTACCTGAGTGTTAGTGAAATAAATGCATCAAGAAATTCCAAAATAGTCCTAAGTTTTATCCATTTTATTTAATTAGATACCTTTTGTTGTATAAGAAAAAAATATTTACAGACTTAATGAATATTTACAGACACACTGGTTCAGGACCAGTGTGTAATTCTTTAATCTCTCAGAAACTGCCCTGATTTGGGGGAGCTAAAGACCACATAAATGAGCTTCTGGTATCAAATAATATGTATTTAAATCAGATACATGTAATCTTACATGTTCTCTTACAGGAGGGAGAGCTGGAAAGTGACCTCCCTGACACATCATTCATTAACCCACTCTATGTTCATAAGACACCTCCCTTGTACTACACACTGCCAGGTACTAGGTATATGGCAAAGAACAAAACAGATCATGTTCATACCCTCATGGAGTATGAAACTCAACTACCACACAACTGACTGAATCAGAAGACAGATTATGCTTTTTGTTGTTAATACAGTGCCTAATAAAATAAACAAGTGTGTCGTTTGTTAAAAGAGGCCATAAAATCATGCCATGGGTTAGAATGTTAAAAATTATAGGCATTTATCATTTCTTTCATACATAATTATTCTTCAGCACACACTAATTATGGACACTATAATATTCTTCAATGTACATATGAACACCAGTAATTGTTTTTATTTAAGTTGTTTATGGTCTGATTGGGTACACAGAATATACAGTAAAGAGTTCATGGTCTACTATAAAAGTACTGTACATTAAAGTAGTAGATGATGAAGTATCAACTATGGAGATAATGAGTGCTATGAAAGCCCAGAGAATTGAGCTATTCCTATCATGATTTTGGAATGTATGTAATGGCAGTGTTAGTAGTGAGTAAATATAGGTCTAGCTGAGTGGTGGGCTAACTGTTCAATTAGATAGTACAATTCTAACCCTGGAATACACAGGTGTTCCCTAAGGGGGCAGAGATAAGCTCACATCTATCCTCCTGTTGTTCGTTCTGATACCCTGTATGCCCTATTAAAGTACAGATATAACCCAATGTACTACATCTCAGTGCACATATTCATTCACAGATTCATGAAAGGTAGCATTTCCAATAAACCCCAAAATGTAAAGAACAATATATTGCACTTGGAGGGAAACAGAGGTATTATTATAGTTACTGATTTCAATACAATAACTTTGGAATCAGGGCTAATATTTACAAACATATACCCCCCCCCCCCAAAAAAAAAGAGAGAGAGAGAGAGGAAAAAATAGGTACAAACAATTCTTAAGATGTTTCTGGGAAGACATAAGTAATGAACTTATTTCCATAGAGGAATATCTCATAGGGTACACATGCATCTCCCCATATAATTGGTATATATACATATAGATGCAGAACAATGGCTAATTTATTGCCAACTTTTCATTATCACTTTCAAATAATATGCTGTTTATGGAATCTAAATTATCTACTATTTCCTAAAGAGCTCATGAGATTTATTCTGGACTTATTTTTATATCAATTACATTTAGCATTACCATACTCAATGGTTATTAATTCCTGTAAAGATAACATTTGAAATGTTTCTGCCTGGTGGAATAAAATCCTGCCTAGGAATACAAAATCAGCATTTCCAATATTAAGAAAGCCACTTAGTAAGCAGGTAGGCACGAAGTAAAGTAAAGTAATAGGATTTTTAGGTGGCTTGCAGATTTTTAACAGTCTTACAGAATTCAAATTGATATACTATAAGAAAATAATCAAATTAACAAAATGTACTAAATGACATTTTTAAATGAATAAAAATAATTCTCAGTGTTAGGAAGTTAGGACGGACATTACATGGAATATATATATAGGCTTTAACATATATTTGTTTTAAATATATTTATTTATTTTGAGAGAGAGGCAGAGAGATGGCAAGAAAGAGAATCCCAAGCAGGCTCATGAATTGTGAGATCGTGACCTGAGCTGAAATCAGGAGCTGTATGCTTAATGGACTGAGCCACCCAGGCAACCCTAGCATATGATTATTGTTAATTATTCTTAGCCTCTTAGATATTAAGGGACTTATATCAGTCAATTTATATTGATTTTAACATCTGCTTTAAATTATTATAAATTCTCTATAAGGTAGATATTATAATATATATTTATTTTACAAATGAAAATCTGACACTCAAGTTTATGCAGGATGCTCGGTTTTAACTCAAGCCTATATAAATGGAGGACTTAGGTCTTTCTCTTGCTTTCTATTTTCTCTGTGTAAGTCACCATAATATGCCCAATAAGGTGTACTGTCTTCCTTTTGAAACTCTTCCTTCAGCTATTGTGACACTGAATTCAGTTGTTTTGCTCCAATCGCTCAAACATCTTTGCAGTCTTCAGTTCTGACTGTGACTGTTAAATATAAGCATCTCACAAAATTCTGCCTAAGAAGCCTCTATGTTTTCTCCTCTCTTATTCCTCTTAACAACCCCAGCAACTTTAAATAACAGCTTTCTTTGCTAATTCCCCAAGCTTGAAGTTTAAACTCCAAGCTTTAAGCTCTAGAACTACAATTTTCAGTTATCTCCATCTGACTGACTCACCTGGGGTCATAACCACACCTGCAACATTTACCTGTGATTAACAGCAACACAGTCTGTTCAAGTGCCACCTTCTCAAACAAAGTTCTACTCTAACGACCTACTAAGGTCACACTGCAAACTTCTCTCTACCATTTCTGACCCTTCTTGCTCTATTTTCACTCATTTTTCCATAGCACTAAACATCTAATAACTTTACAATTTACTTTTTAAAATATTATAGCTTTGTCTTATAATCACTAGAAGAATAGGGATCTGTGTGTTCACTCCTGTATTCCAAATGCCTAGAATTATCCCTGACCCACAGTAGGCACACACAAAAAAATTAGTTGAAAGAGTGAATAATGGCTTCCAAGAGTACTCCTGTTAGGTGGGGCAGTTTTCAAAGTAGACTTACTGAGAAGAAAATTCACACATGGTCAATCACATGGAGTAGAAAGCCTCACACCAGCTTCTTTCTTGACATGTCTCTGAATGTCTGGTCAGGTCTGGCTATCTTCTTAACATGAAGCAATGGTATTTGTCATGGTCTCCAAGTTCCTGCTTAGGCTCATCTCTGCTCATCTCTCTAGTCCTTGCCTCATGCTATTTTCCAATGTTTACTACGCTCTTTGACTTTCCTACCTCTGGGTCTTCTGTCGCATTCTTTACTTTGTGTTGCAACATCATTTCCACTTTTCTCTACCCCTTCACATAGTTAAGCAATTAATCTTAACAATCGACACCTTGAAAAGCCTTTCCTCTTCACTATAATTAAAGTGATACCTGCTGCATGCTGCATTCCCTTCTATCAGAGCCACTTACATGAGCACAAGTGCTCACACACACACACACACACACACACACACACACACACACACACACAGCTCGGTTTTTGATTTTAAGGTCTTCCGTATTAGAATTTAAGGTCTGTGAGTGTAGGGATTCATATATCTGATTACCTATAGTATCTGGCCTATAGTGAGCACCTATTTTTTTTAATGTTTATTTTTGACAGAGAGGGCGCGTGCGTGCGCCTGTGCGTGCTCACGCACGCACGCACGCACACACACGAGGGGGAAGGGCAGAGAGAAGGAAAGCAAGAATTTCAAGCAGGTTTCATGCTGTCCACGCAGAGCCTGACGGCGGGGCTCAGTCCCACGAACCGTGAGATCATGACCTGAGCCAAAATAAAGAGTTGGATGCTCAACCAGCTGAGCCACCAAGGCATCCAGAGCATCCAATATTTTTTAATTTAAGGAGAGATGGATGAAGAAAGGAAATAAGAAGATGGGTTTAACTTTTAGACTTTTAGCCTCTCTTTGAGATATTTCTTATCTCTTCCACTATTCTTATATGCATTTCATAAATTCTATGCTAACTGTTTTGCCTTCCATATGCATTCTCCCCTTTTCACCTGTGACCACTCTGGTTGTGTTATTCTCTGCTACCACTAGGATCATTCAATGGACTTTTAGCTGGTCTTTTAGCTCTCTATCTCTTCATTCCATTGGCACAATGATACGAAAGCCATATACCTGGAGACCTACCTATTCACATCACTCCTTGAATCAAAATTATACAGTGGCTTATTATTGACTAAAAAATCATGTCAAAAATACCTTGGTATTTAAAATTCTCTATTCTCAACTCATGTTACATTACCTATCAGGTCCCCTTCTAGGTACGTCATGACCTCAAATATCATAGAATATACCAAGTGCTTTTCATTGCAGCCTCTGGTTCAGAATGCTGTCATTTAATAAATACAATAATATCATAAGTTAGTTATTATCAGCCCTTGGTTTCTAGTGATAAAAATCAACTTTGAAGATAGTAAGTTCCTTTCTGAGATCTCACAGGTAGTACCTAATTCCCTGGGATCAAAGCCAGTATATTTTACTTAAAAGAACACCTTTGTAAAAACTACACCATGAAGAGTTGTCTGTCTACCTTTCATATGTCTACCTATCTTTTAAGCAGTTGTTTAAATGACACCCTCACACAGTTTTCCATTATTAGAGATAGTATTTCTTGCCTTTGCACTCCCATGATATCATAAGGCATGTAACAATTCTCTCATTGTGCCAAAACTTCAAAACTTCAATGCATGCCTCATTTGTTTTTCTTTTTTTCTCTTCGAATATAAACTCAATGAGAAAAGAGACTATGCCATGTTCATCATTAAAGTATCCATAGTGCTGGGCAGAGTGGTCACCACATGGAAAATGTTCAATACATTGCACTTGACCCACTGTAGGGGGGTACTGTAGGGGATGTGGTAGCCAGCCCCAATCTCCTTTACTAGGTAGGGATACCTACCCACTATCCACTGCCAATCCACTATCCTTTTAGCAGTTAAGGAATCACACTTGCCCTCCTTTCCCAGAGAATTGTGCTCAACTGTCTGCAGCAGCCTGGATTGGGAAGTTTGAGACCAAAGGCCAACCAACGACTGATGGATCATTTAAAAGCTGACCCCTTCCCTGTCATGAGATTCATGCTCCAAAGTACATCCCCATGGCTGAGGCCAAAATGAGAGCTTATCTGAGACATAGTCTTTTTCTCTCTCCATCTTTTACAAGTGTCTTCTGAATAACACTCCCCTCGTAAATAACCTTTAGAAGAATTCCTTTCCCAGGCTCTTTCCTAAGAACCTGTGACAGGCAATTGTATAAACTGCTGCCAGAATCACTCTTTAAAATGAAAATCATGTCTCACACACTGTGATTATGTTAAGTTGTTAACATCACAGAACTTCTTTAAATAATTAATTTTGCAACTTTTCTATATGTCCAAAATTAGTTAGAAAGTTAAGAAGACAGTTGAAGTTCTTTAAGAACTGAAAATAGTGTATGAGCATATGATGCCGCTTGCCTTTCCAGTGGACTTCCACGCCTCCCTTTAAAGCTGGAGTAAAAGCTTGTCTTGAGCAGTGTGTTCCAAGCCCTATGTGACCTGCACCTGGCCACCTGGGAACCTCCACTTGCACCCCTTTCCTGAGTTGCTAGTGTTTCTAGGCATTCTGACATTCTTGCTGTTTTTGACAAATGCTAAGCTTATTCCTAACTCATAACTTGCTTTTCATTCTGTTTGAAAAGCTCTTTGCTTACATATTCACATTAGCTTGCTACCTCTATGAAGTTCTCTTCTCAAATATCTCCTTTCAAGAGATGACCTCCCTGATAGTCCTGATCAAAATAGTATACCCCCTTAAGTGCCTGTTCTTTTCTATATAGCACTTATCAGTATCTGCCATGATATATGTTATATATTCTATCCTCTGGAGGAAGGTAAGTTTCATGAGAGTTGGTATTTTCTTCACACGAGTAAGAACTTGTCTTCAGCATCTGGAACAATTTCTCCCACCAGATGGGTGTTCAATTAGTACTTGTTAAATCAGTGAATGGAGATACACTTATGTAAATGAACTAAATCCCAAAGATTGCTTCTTCTCTTAAAGAGTAAAAACAATCTAGTTGAAGGAAAAATCACACACAGCACATTAAAAGTTAATAAGAATATAAGTGCCAAATACAGATAAAATTTCAACTACATAAGATATTACAAAGTATAATGATTAAATCATATATGCTATAGAAAATGTATTCTCTCCTTTGGGATGTAGTAGGCATGAAATCCTTGAGGCTCCTTGCAGTTCTGAAAGTGTTTCACTGAAGAAGTGTTAAACTTAGACGTTAAAAGGTTCGTAAGATTCAGCTGGATGCACAAAAGTCAGAAGGGCATTCCAGTTGGGGAGGCTGGGAGACAAATGGAATGGGAACAAGCAGGGAGGAAGAAAAAACACCTGCGTCCTTTGGCAGTCCTGGGAGTACAGAGAGTCTGGAGTGGTACTTACATGCCACAGCGAAGAAAGACATTAAAGCCTGATTAAAAAGGGCCATGAATGAAAAGGGAAGGAGTCATCAACTCTGCCTTTTACAAAAATTATTTATGTTTTCCCACCTCTTTGTCCATTTAGTTTCTGATCCTCTAGAAATAGTACCATCTCTCCCAGCATCATTAACGTATACTGGTAAAAATATCCTAACACACTGTGAACTGTTGAGATGCCATGCGTGTGGAATCCTACACACGGCCTTACAACTTAGGCAATTTTCAAATAATAACCCCATAATATCACTGGCAGTATAAGACCTTGACTTTCAAGTTGGAAAAATACAACATGAAATGTTAATGACTTTCATAAAGTTGTACTATAAATCATTTTACCTGCTTGTAAAAATGATTATATTGCCAACAAAAGTGGAAAGACTTGCTACACTAATATGCTGAGCATATTCTCCATATTCTAGATTGTGTCAGCAACACATCATACCTGTGGGTCTTTGCAAATTCTTCTGTACTAAAATCCTTCTCAGAGTTCCATCCATAGCTGCTTCTTCTATGTGAGAGTGGTCCCCAACGACAGTCCAGTACATCATCCTGAAGAGACAGGTCAAGGTGCTTAGCTTGGAGATAGTGCTATTATAACCCAACTCTGCTCCCAAACACAATGTCTCTTGAGACTGTGTGCACCAGAATCACCCCAGAGTCCCTGAGAAAGCAGTATCCTGGGCCCAACTCTAAATCTACAGTCTCACAACCTCCAATAGAGAGTGGGTAGTAATTAGGAGTTTGATTTAACATGTCTCTATTTTCTTTTTGGTCATTGCCTATAAATGAAAGAGTAAAAGAGTAAGAAAAGAACAATTCAAGAAAAGGAAAGGAAATATTTGTGTTAAAATTGTTTAAATTCATTTGCATATACACCTTCATATTTTATTATTTCAAATAGCAAAAATACTAATACTCTTACACTTAATATGTTCAATGTTGTGTTTAATATCTTGAATATTTTAGGTTAAAAATATTGGTATGTGATATTGCAACATTGCATCTGCAATACACAGAAGACACATACACACATAGAATGTATAATGGAGCAATCTTTCAGGAAAACATATATCTTGTGCCACCATTTGTTATGAAAAGGACATGCTTTTTGTACATAAGTAGAGGGATTTTTAGAAGTCTTGTGAATCTATTATATATTGAACACTTATTACAGAAGGAAAACTACAGTATGCAGGTGGGCAAATCTCTAAAAATGGATACGCATATCAAGAAATGTAAATAATCAACTCATTAACCTACCCTCTTTTAGGATTTACAGCAATAGCATAGGGTTCTCCAGCCATGTTTGTTAAGAGTCTGGTGCAGTTGGGGCCATTCAGCTGTCCTACGTTGATAGAGTATCTCAAACTAGTCCAGTGAGTGGTATAGTAACTGAACCAGTGCATTCTAGAATGATCAGTCCAATAAATATTTCCAGCAACCCAGTCAACTGCTATGTCTCTGGGCCTTTTAAATTCAGGACACTAAAAGAAAACAAAGCAAAAAGCCACAGTATTTTTAAGAGCAAAGCAGGAGTGAGGGATTCTGAATTTATACACTGATATTGTATAGGAATAATATTAACAAGGTCAGGTGTTGTTACACAGGTTTTTTTGAATAACCAAATACTTCACTTTACTCTTAATTGTTATAGATGTCAAAATTTCACAAACCTTAAGTACACAATACATTGGAGTTTAACCTATGACTTCCCTTGTATAACCACCACCTAGAATATTTCTAGAATTGTAGAAGGTTCACCTGTGACTTCTTCTGGTCAGTATGTCTCTGAGACTAACCATAATTCTGATATCTAAGAAAATAAAATAGCTTAAACAAATCCATGTAAATAGCATCATATTGTTCTATTCCTGGCTTAATTTATTCAACAGTGTGTCTATAAAATTTATCCATATTGTTGTGCATGTGAATTATTAATACTTTTTTTTTATCAATGGGTAGTATTTCACTCTGAGAATATACCACAATGTGTTCACCATTTTCCTGATGATGTCCATTTGGATTATTTGTGGTTTTAGGCCATTAAAACCAAAGTCATGAATATTCTTATACATGTCTTTAGGTGGACACAAGCATTCATTTCGATTGAGTTTTTAACAAGGAATAGAATTGTTGAGTCTTATACGGTTGAGTCTGTTTAACAAGGAATAGAATTGTTGAGTCTATACGTTATAGCTTGGATGGATATTGCTAGCTTTTTTTTTTTTTTCCAAAGAGTTTGTACCAATATATACTCTTTTCAGCAATTTAAGGAAGTCCCAGTTGTTCTGTATGCTCCCCACATATAATTTGATATAAAAATTGAAAAAAAATATTACTACAGATGGACACGTTCAGAAAAGATACTATATTTGAACATATTTTGAGAAAAGTTCCAATCTCTGTCATTTATATTAAATTTACTAGCTTAGATTTTCTGCTTAATATTGTATTATTAAGTTATTGTGAGACAAAAAGTAAGAGAGTTCATTGTGAATAGACAGCAAGAAAAATAACATATGCTCTGTACCCTTCAATTAACTTGATCACTTCGAGTAGGAACTAGTGTCATAATTAATTTAACATGGTCAGGTTTATTGTGCATAACCAAAAGTGAGAAAGGATTCCCAGGGGTATTATATCAAGAATAGAAACAATTATGTGAAGGTGATTATAACTACACATGTAGTCAGTGTGTAAAAGCATAATTAGGACCTCGCAGCCAGTGGGAATATGGTTTTTAACACATGATACTTTCTTGTGTGAATTACTAGTGAACAAATGTTACTGAAGGACTAAGTGGATTTGTATTAAAAGAAGACAAACTAAACATCTCAAAAAGAACATGAGATGCCAAAAACAGGAATTGCAAGCCACTGTCTGCTGTGTGACTATATGATTGCAAGGAAGGAAAATATGGACTGAAGTAAAGACAGAAGCCATAGAGATTTCTAATGACCTTTATTATCACACTTTCTACCTTTGATTTAAAAACTGAAATTATGAAATTTATAGCAATCTATTTCTCAACTCTAACAATAAATACTTTCCTTCTACCTAGTCATAGCTCTGTGATGTTAAATGAAAAGCCCTCTGCAATACCATATGCTTTAGAAACACTGTATAAATAATACTCATAGTTGGGTAGATCATAAATATTTGTCCTAGCCAAACCACAAGATTATTTTCAAATGTTCCAGGATCATTTAAATGAACTGTAATGTTTGTTTGTTTTTTTCCTTTCTGGTTTGGCAGCATTTAAATGTAAACAAATCAACAAATGGCATGGGCATGTCAGTGTAAGTCATAAATTTATAAATATGAGAGACAGTGGAAAAAATAACCATTATAAGCTGTTTAGAATCTGTTGGGGTAAATTTATCATTTTCTAGCACTAGTAAAGCAAACCTTCAGCATGCAAAAAAATATGACATTGGTTGTCTAGCATGAGCATAGAAAAATACTTAGTTTCCCTTTTTCAGATGTAAATACATACACATGATTTTCTGTCCTTAAGGTATCCTAGCTAAGATAGGATATATTTCATGCAAAGTTAATACTTTTTTGAATTTAGGATTTTTATTTTGTTTTACTGATTCTCAAAAAAAGTCTTATTATCTTTCCACTGTATACTTCTAAATCTGGACTGCAGATTATTAAAAACCCAAAGTCTTAATTTTCATAGCACATCCATAAGTTTGATTAAGTGATACTTTGTCAGGTAAGTAGGCTTATGAAGAATCTACTAATGGCAAATTCTAGAAGGATAAATAAAATTTATGTCACATTACCAGGGTAAGGAATATGGCATAGGGAAAGGGAGAAATATTACTTTCCAATGCTAAGCACAAGAAATACTGATTGAGATATTTAAATGTATACATTTATTCTCTGATTCCCTGATCAAAGAATCCTTAATGTCATTCCAGTAACAACTGAAGTAGTTAGAATATGGAATAAAGGATGTCATACCCAGTAAACTCAACCTATGGTCATAAATCATCATTACAATATGATTCTCAGAGAATAATGGCATCAAGGTGAAGATGTTACCAGATGTTCATCTTCAATGACTCATAATATACTGAATGCTCAATGATTCTCAACATGGGAAAGAGCAGAACTGAATAGAAAAGGAACACTAACAAAAAGAAAGCAATGGGATGGTCCCATTGTCAAGGAAACTAAGGCCAAATTAGGCAATAACCCTTTATAATGAGATCCATAGGAATGAAGTAATCCCTCTTTATTGCTCACAGTTTGATCAGGATTGTAAATGGTATTAGCCATATAAAAAGGGCTCTAATACTAAGTGGATGTTGGGTGCAGATGGAAGTAAGAAATTCTTGTTGGATCTGGATATAATAAACAATCTATGGAGAGGTTCAAAATCAAATGGGTGAATACAAAAAGTGGGCAAACACAGTAAAAGTAAACTTAGGTTCTGGGTGTGGAGTGGATTCCGAAATGGGAAAGCTAAGCTCTTTGCTTCCAAAGAGGCTCAAAACAAAACAAAACAAACAAACATGGAAGAAAATATAAAACTCTCATAGCTCCTCTGGCTAGCTCACTAGATAGAAAGACCTAGGAGCTAGAGGCACTCATGAATTATGTACTATTTAAGAGACTGTAGAGGCATCTGGTTACCCTGACAACAAAACGCATTGCTCATATTGTTGCACAAAGTGGAAGACACATTTTGACTGTTTTCTCCAGACAGATGATTTCTTTCCTAATAAGCTCTCTAAATACAGAGCCAAAGTTCTGAGGCCTAAGGCATTCTTCCGTGTAGAGATATATTAGTCCAATAAATAAAACACTTAAATCTTACAGAAAAATTGGCAGCTTGATTATAACAAAAGTAGAGGTCACCACTTTAAACTTCTAATCCTTTACAGCTGTGGATGCTAAGGTATCTGTCACGATTCCAGCTTCAGTAAACTAAAGATTAGAAATCACCAGAAGGCTACTTGGGTGGCTCACACTGTTAAGCCTCTGACTATTGATTTGGGCTTAGGCCATGATCTCATGGTTTGTGAGATCGAGCCCCACATTTGTCTCTGTGCTGAGAGCGTAGAGCCTACTTGGGGTTCTCTCTCTCCCCCTCTCTCTGCCCATCCCCCAGAACTTGAATGCATACTTTCTCTGTCTCAAAATAAATAAATAAACATAAAAAAAGGAAGTCACTGGAGACATCTGATTTAAATCAAGAAAAGAGGAAAAGCTATGAAATGGGACTTCAAGCATTTAAACTATAGAAATACTTTCCTCTTATTTAAAAATTCCTATAATTAGCAATATACTTTAAGAAAATACAGTTAACACAAGGATAGATCACAGTAGTCATGTAGTGTATCTGTCTGTGATTTTCTTCATATGAGAAAAAATCTGGTTTATTTTACTAAAGTTAATTATCCTGTAATATAACGCTATTAAAACAAAGATGTAAAGCCGCTCTAGATGTGTGTGTGTGTGTGTGTGTGTGTGTGTGTGTGTGTACCATATTAAGCGGAAAGGGCCTTTACATTTTTGGTTCACAATATATGAGTCAGATTAAATACTCAAAAACCAGGATATAGAAGCAAAATAATGACTATGCAAATTCTAAACATTACTAAATTACACAGCTTAATACTACTATAAAATATGTAGGTATATATTATTTCAATCTAGAAGCTCATACAGCAATGGGGAAATCCAAAAAGAACCAAAAAAATAGTTATATTTGGAGCTAGAATGTGTAAGAGTTCCAAAAACACTTCAGGAAGGAAACCCCTGGCTTCTATTTAAACTTTATTCTGAAGAACAGATTATTTCAATCTGAATAATTTTAAAGCTATATTATCTATATTAAGACTATATCGTCCTGGTACAAACTCCTATTGAGGGAAAAGGAACTAAGTAAAAAGTATGTGATTCTCAGACAATTTCCCAAAAGACCACATTTATCTTTGGATTATAGACTCAATATTGTATGTGACTTTATCTTCTTCTTTCTTTTTTTTTTTTTTTTTTTTAGCATACTCAGTGTTACTTAAATTTACTCATCATTTACAATCCTCCCTCCAAAAAAAAAAAATAAAAGTGCAAAACTGGCTCTCAAAACCTTCTTTACACCATCAGGTAAACAAAAGATATGGAAGACTAAAAAGCACATGAAATTTGGAATCAGAAACTTGGTGTAAAACTTTATCCTAGTTTGTCTAAAAATGATGTAATATATAAAATAAAGGCTTTGGATTAGATGAACTATAAAATTCTTCAGATTCTAAACATTGAATTATATGACAGTTTAAAATATTTTTCATTCTAGGGGCATCTGGTTGGCTCAGTCGGTTAAGCATCTGACTTCAGCTCAGGTCATGATAAACTTGGAAACTAGATTTCCAAGTCTAAACAGAACCTGGAGTAAAAATGAAGTCACCTTGTAGGATACTTCCTGGGCATTCAAATGGTATTCTTTAGATGATAATCAATCTTTCTG